CAGGTTATTGGTTATCCTCCCAACTGGAAAGGTCCTAAGGGTCCCAGGATTCATCCTGATCACCCCTCAGCTAACTTTGTTCATGCTCCTTCCCCTTCTGATATTCCTATACTTGCCTTTTCTGATAATACTAATACTACTGCTGCCACAAATTCCCTTACTGACATCTCTTTACTGATTTTCTAGAGTTTAAAAGATCATTTGAGAACAAACAAAGAGTTGGACCTCGAAATCCTTCTCTTCCTGTTGTTGCATATGCAACTATTACCCCAGAGCAATTAGGTAAGTTAACTGATATATCAATTTTTAATAAATGTACTTGGATACTTGACACTGGTGCATCTGATCATATGGTGTGTGATATTCACTTATTTACTTCACCTCCCCTTCCTACATGCATCACTGTTAATCTTCCTAATGGACAATCTACTTGTGCTAGTCATGTGGGACAGATCAATCTGGGACCTAATCTTGTACTACACAATGTCTTATTTGTCCCTAACTTCACTTTTAACCTATTATCTGTTTCAAAACTCACTTTACAGAACAATTACCAAATCAATTTTTTTTCTCTTCTTACTGCACTCTACAGGAGCTGAACACCAAAAGGGTGATTGGTTTTGCTGAAGCAAAAGGTGGCTTATACCATCTGTTGCTCCAAAACAATACTTGTAATTTTGCTTGTAATTCAATTTCTGAAACTTCTAGTGCTGATGTTTGGCACCATAGACTTAGACATTTATCTTTTCACAAACTTGTTCAGCTTCCTATTTTTGTAAAGCAAAGTTCAGTTTTTAATCATAAACCATGTGATGTGTGTCATTTTTCAAGACAAAAAGCATTACCTTTTTCTATTAGCAATTCTGTTGCATCTACTCCATTTGAGCTCATACATTGTGATATATGGGGGCCATTCTCTGCTCCTTCTCATGCTGGACACAGGTAGTTTCTTACCATTTTAGTTGATCATAGTAGAGCTACTTGGGTGTATCCTTTGCTTTCCAAATCTGACACCAAACAACACACTGCATTTTTCTACTATGGTAAAAACCCAGTTTCATAAATCTATCAAATCAATCAGAACTGACAATGGTTCTGAATTTTTTCTTAAGGATTTCTTTACAAGCACTGGTATTATACATCAAACAAGTTGTGTTGAAACCCCACAACAAAATAGCAGGGTTGAAAGAAAACATCAACACCTTTTACAAGTTGCTAGAGCCATTATGTTTCATGCTCACCTTCCTCTTCAATTTTGGATTGACTGTGTAATGGCTGTTGTGCATATTATAAATAAGATTTCATCATCTGTTTTACAAAACAAAACCCCTTATGAAATTTTTTATCAAAAACCACCCACTTATGATCATTTAAGGGTTATTGGCTGCCTCTGTTATGCCACTACTATTCATTCAAACAGATCTAAGTTTGATAAAAGAGCCTCTAAATGCATCTTACTTGGTTATCCTCTTGGTTGTAAAGGTTATAGACTTTACAACCTGGAAACCAAGCATATAGTATTTCCAGGAATGTGTCTTTCTATGAATCTGTTTTTCCATATAAAACCAATTCTCATGGTGACTCAACCATAAACATACATTTATTCCCTTCACCTCCTACTTATCAGTTTGATAATACCAGCACTACTACACATATTGTCCCTACCCCTCATATACTACAAAATTCTCATGTACCACATATCTCTTCTCCTACCAACTCTACCAACTCTCCAATTATAAATCCCACTATGACTCAATCCCAAACTTCTCCTAGTGATCCTCATACAAACCAGCCACAACAAACTGCCCCTAACACCACACTGAGAAGATCCACCAGAATCAGACAGCCTCCCTCCTACCTGAATATCTATAAACACTCTTTGCCTTCTTCTTCTAACCTTTCTTTCAGTGCTTCCCATACAGATTCACAAACAGACACACCTGGAACAACTCTTTACCCCATTCATAATCATTTATCCACAGACAGGTTGTCTAAACCTCATACCTGTTTCACTGCCTCTATTTCTTTGATTCCTGAACCAAAGACATATAGGCAGGCTGTTAAGGACCCTAACTGGCAAGAAGCCATGGCCTTAGAACTAGCTGCCTTAGAGAAAACCAATACTTGGGTTTTAACTGACCTTCCACCTGGTAAGCATTGTATAGGCTGTAAATGGGTGTACAAGGTCAAGTATAACTCAGATGGTTCTCTAGGTAGGTATAAAGCTAGACTTGTAGCAAAAGACTACACACAAGAGGAGGGGATTGACTATTTTGACACTTTTTCTCCTGTTGCTAAGATCGCCACTGTTAGAACTTTACTTGCTATAGCTTCTGTGAAAAACTGGTTTTTATATCAACTTGATGTCAATAATGCTTTCTTACATGGTGACCTTAGTGAGGATATATACATGTCTCCCCCTCCTGGTTATATTGATGCTCAGTCCAATAAAGTTTGCAAATTGATAAAGAGTTTATATGGCCTAAAACAAGCTTCTAGGCAATGGTTTCATAAGCTTACTTCTTGTTTGCTGAATTTTGGATATTCTCAATCATTTGCTCACTGTAGCTTGTTCATTAAACATTTTGATGACTCTTTTACTACTCTATTATTTTATGTGGATGACATCATTCTAGCTGGCAATAATATGGATGAAATCAACTCTGTTAAAAATCATTTGCATGCTTGCTTCACTATCAAAGACCTAGGGCAACTTAAGTGTATTCTAGGCATAAAAATTGCTCAATCTGATCATGGCATTAATCTCTTTCAAAGGAAGTGTGCTCTGGATATACTGCATGACACAAGATACCTTGATTCTAAACCTGCAAATACTCCCATGGATTCTAGCTTAAAACTTACTTGTGCTGTTTCTGATAATTGTTCTCTAGTTGATGCTACTTCTTATAGACAATTGATTGGAAGGCTATTATACTTAACTATAACAAGGCATGACCTTTCTTATTGCATTCAAGCTCTCATTCAGCACATGGCTGCACCCACCCAACAGCACCTCACAGCCACTCATAGGGTGCTCAGGTATTTAAAAAGCACAAAATTGGTAAAGGTATTCTGTATCCCAGGTCTTCTTCCCTTTCTTTACATGCTTTTTCAGATAGTGATTGAGTTGGTTGTATAGATACAAGAACAAGTGTTACTGGTTATTGCATTTTTTCTTGGTTCGTCTTTAATTTCATGGAAATCTAAGAAACAACAAACTGTTAGCAGATCAATCTGCTGAATCTGAATGTAGAGCCCTTGCTTCTGCTTCATGTGAAGCACAGTGGCTACTATATGTATTGGCTGACTTAAAAAATGCTCATGAGTTTCTTGTTGTCATTTATTCAGATAGCAAATCTGCAGTTGCCCTAACTAACAATCCCATTCAGCATGAAAGGACCAAGCACATCGAAATTGACTGCCACCTTGTGTGAGAGAAGCTGGCCAAAGGCATCATAGATCTCAAATTTGTGTCATCTCAGGATCAAGTTGCTGATATTTTGACCAAACCACTTGGTGTCCAGGCCTTCCAAAATAATGTGTCCAAGATTAGCATGATCAACATCCATGCTCCTCTTGCGCGGGGGTGGGGGGAAGGGATGTGTTATATTATAAATATTTGTATTATTTACAATTTGTAAATAAGCTTTTGCATAAGCGTTTTTCCTTTTTTATTTACAATTAGTACGAGTGACAACATTCTTGCTGTTTGCAATGTCAAAGTTTCGAGAAGATAATTTGATGCCATCCATTTTATTAAATTGATGTTTTTTTTTTGAAGACTGATTAGTTAACATATCATTCTGGTATTAAATAGATAAAATTTCCAAATTAATATATATACTCAGATCAGGGGCGAAGCCAGCCTCAAATTTCACCGGGGTCGGCAATATTTTTTAACGGGGTCATTAACCTAGTAAACAGTGTTTGAACAGTATTTTATACTAAGAATTTTGAAATCTATAGGGGTCAGCTGACCCCTACATTAACATGTAGCTTCGCCCCTGACTCAGATTCATAATTTTCACCATCTCAAACTTTAAGATGAAAACTTGACTTCAAAAAAAAAAAATTGAATTCTTACAACAATAAACAGTTCATGCCAATGAATATAATAAATACATACTTCAATTTATTTAAATAAACATACCATTATTTTGTTTTAATTAATTTTACAGTAGATGAACAAATAAATAGAGTAAATAAATAACAATAAACATATACGCTGTCCGAACTCCCAACCTATTAAAAGCCCTACAATACCGTTAGACGTGTCTTAGCTGTATATGTTTCAAGATTTACCATTACTCCACTGTAAAACATAAAGTAATAGTATATAATAATTAAATAAATAAATAAATATCCTTGCCCAAAAAAATCTGTCGCTGTAAATAAAATAAAATAACCACTGTAATTTTGACCCAGTAAAAAAAATTTATGAGTCACCGTGTATAAAATCGCGTGTGGACTCGTTTCATAACCCTTGTTTTCTCCATGCCTGAGACTGACCTTATCATCTCTCTCCCCATATTCATTTTCTCTCTCTTCATGTTTATTTAATTCCCATTTTTTTTTTTTTTTTTTTTTTT